TCCTCCTCCTCCTCCTCCTCCTCCTCCTCATCACCATCATCATCATCATTCCTTACACTTACCAAGTCAACACCTTAAACTAACATCTGGCACCCACAAAAGTAGGACACGGGACAAAGACATTAAAAAAAAGCATTTACAGAAATCCATATTACACGTGGTATATTCATTTCTAGTGCAGAAGGAGCAAAATCATACCTACCAATCAAGCAATGGTTCATCATTTCCTATATTGCGTCTGAAAAATATTCCGACATAACTCGAGCAGAACATGCATAATTTCATTATAGCTATTAATGGTGTCGACATGACTTCAGAATACACAATATCAAGTTTTATCGGAAACAGAGCGTTTCATTTGTAGCCAGGGAGGAAGGCTTACTTGTTTGACAGGGTAATCAGAGTGAGACGAAGAACCCGAATACGTATGAGCTACATACGAGGGGCTCAGATGCAAAACCCGCTTCATCTATTATAGCACTTTTGAGAAAACCAGCTTTTTAAAATGCTGCTATACGTATGCGAATCCTGGACCTTGAACGCAGACCTTGAAAGAAGGATCCAAGCTGTGGAGATGAGAAGCTTCCGAAAAATCCTTGGTTGGTATCTCATACGAAGATCACAACACAAATGATGAAGTCAAACAAAGGATCAAAAATGAAATTGGACCATATGCTGACCTTCTCACTCTGATCAAGAAACACAAATTGCATTGGTATGGAAACATCACCCGTTCATTCGGCCGAGCCAAGATGATCCTGCAAGGCAGCTTCTAGGGAAAGAGGAGAAGAGGTAGACCGAAGAAGAGTTGGGAGGACAACATCAAGGAAAGGACAGGCATGGACTCAAAGACACGCTCAGAAAATCTGGTGACCGGAAGTAGTGGAGGAAGCTAGTTGCCAAATCTTCAAAAGCGCCCCGACGGAAAGCCAGTCAACCAGTCTACGGGATAGGTGAAGGTGAAGGTAAATACGCACGAACAAGCGTAGGAAGAAGATTTATTGGTGGCTTTTAAGAACTATGTGTTGGGTTTTGGCCGAAAACACTTTGTGTATCTGATAGCAGGTAACACTATGTTATAAGCAACAGATGTCATTTTTTTCCCCAAAATGTCGCGCAGCGGGTTTTGCATCTCACTCCCTCACACACGAAAAGGTTTTCCTCAAAACAGAGTTGCATAATTTGGCCTATCTGTAACAACACCTAATTTAAAAAAAAAATTTGAGACGGTATCACTGAAATAGGAATGGAACCAAAAGATGATTTCATAAATTAGACAGCCCCTGAATAATCCAGAAAATATTCCATTTAATTTTTTTTTCCTTCTTTGGGCTGAAAGCAAATATAACTTTTAAACTTGAGGTAAGCATAATTGTCTCAAGATTCTTTAGTAGTACAATTAATGTGAATACACAAACAGAAGGCGAAGAAGCAAAGATACCAATACTTTAATCAACTTGGTTTCAAATGTGGGAGGTGGGTGGCAGAAGAAAGAGGAAAAGGACAGACTTGCCAAAAAAGGCGTTACAGTTCTTGATTGGTCTGGCATTCTTCACCCAAAGGGCTCGCATCCAATTCTCACAAGAAAAAGAAGGAACATCAAACCAGATATCCCCCCCCCCTCGAAAACAATAAGGGCGTTGGTCTGAATATAACGCTGATCCCCAGCGTAATATAATGTGTAGGCGAAGGATGGTAACAGAAGCTGATCTTGAATTTTAATTTGCACCAATTAGGATTCCTGCCCATTAGCATAATATGTCATGGATGATCAAATACTCAGTGTATCTGCGACTTTTAAGTCTAATCCGCACGTGTGTTTCTAGGCTGCTTTAAAACAAAAGAAGGAAATTAAACACAATAATGTTTAACTTTCTATGAAGATAATTAGGAAAAAGAGGGACCCTGCAGACGTATTTGATACGTAAAGGATTAAGAAAAAGGTCTTTGTCTTTGAAAAGGATGAAAATTGCTTGTATTTCACAAGTAAATTGTAACCTTTGTAGGGTGTCGCAGCATCTTAGAACGAAAATACAAGCAGAACTATGCTTTAGATTTTGCAAATTATTTTCTCTTATTTGTGCACGTTGACGTTATTCTTCATAGACGGTCCAACCGGTACTTGTAGTATAGTGGTTAGGTGCTTCGCTGTCGTATGCAGAAGACCCGAGCTCGATTCCCATATGGAAAGAATCTTTTAAAATAAGTGTCTCTGTCTTTCTGCTGGGACGTTGTATCCATCTCAGCCCCGGTTGGCCCTGATAGACAGGATTGGAGCCCGCCTACCAAATCTTAATGATCTAAATGTGTGTCAATAGATTGGTAAAAAAAAACTACACCTATAATTTACCCACCTTAATGTTATGGTTATCGTTACTCTCCCGGCGACATGACACATGACTTGAGAGATTCCAAAATCACTACACTCTACAAAAACAAAGGGGACAAAGGAGATTGCAACAACTACAGAGGTATCTCACAGCTAAGCATCACTGGAAAAGCTTTCGCTAAGATCATCCTGAAGCGACTTCAGAAACTAGCCGAAAGAGTCCTACCAGAGAGCCAATGGGGTTTCAGATCAAACTGCTCAATAATGGACATGATCTTTTCTATTCGTCAGCTACAAGAAAAATGCAGGGAGCAACGACTGCCATTACATACTGCGTTCGTCAATCTGACAAAGGCTTTTGATACAGTCAGTAGATCAGGACTGTACATGGTGCTTGGAAAAATTGGCTGTCCCCCAATAATGCTACAGCTCATCATCTCATTCAACGAAGATATGAAGGCCATCATTCAGTTTGACGGTTCAACATCAAACAGTTTCAACATCAAAAGCGGAGTAAAGCAAGGTTGTGTCTTAGCACCAACCCTTTTTAGCACTTATTTTGCTGTCTTACTGCAACACGCATTCAAAGAGTCACCAGGGGATGTCTTCCTCCACTGGAGAACTGATGGGTCGCTCTTCAATCTTGCTTGACTCAAGGCCAAGACCAGGATCAACAAAACAACAGTACGTGACCTTCTCTTCGCCGATGATGCTGCTCTTGCTGCTCACAGTGAATCAACCCTACAAACAATGATGGACCGCCTATCAACAGCATGCAAGGTCTTTAGCTTGGTCATCAGAGTAAAGAAAACAGTCATCTTTACCCAAGAAGGTGCAGAGCAGAGCCATATATGGCTGAACGACTAGGAACTGAAGACAGTGGACAAGTTCTGTTACCTGAGGTCTACCATCAGCTCTACAACATCACTTGATTATGAGATCAACATCAGGATAGGGAAAGTAGCAACAACTTTTGGAAGGCTGACAAAACGAGTATGGGAAAACAAAAGATTAACCATCTAAACAAAGATCAAGATTTACGAAGCATGTGTCCTCAGCACACTCCTTTATTGATCTGAAACATGGACCTTGTACAGCAGACAAGAAAAGCGCCTCGATATTTTCCATCTCAGATGCTGTCGCAAGATCTTAGGCATTTCCTGGCGTGACAAGGTTACAAATGTTGAAGTGTTGGCACGGGCAAAGCTCCAGAGCATGACAACTATCCTGTGTTTAAAAAGATTGAGATGGCTTGGCCATGTCAAGAGAATGGATGACAACCGGATCCCGAAGCAATTTTTTTTTGAACAACTAGCCCAGGGAAAGAGACAAAGAGAAAATTGAGGTACAAAGACACCTGCAAAAACAGCTTATCTAAGCTTGGAGTAGATGTTAACACCTGGGAAGAAATAGCTGAGGACCGGAAAACATGGAGGAATATTATAAAGGAAAGAACTAAAATGCTAGAGAACAGCCTTAGAAACAACCAGGCTGAGAAGCGCCAACGACGAAAGGAAAACAGCGGAAATACAGAGCTTCGATCTCCGACACTAACTTGCAAGCACTGCAACAGAATCTGCGCTTCAAACATAGTAAGAATTAGCCATGAAAGAAGCTGCATGAAGACAACCTTGAGACCATTTTAAGCTAAATTGACCGTCTGCTTGGACGAAAAGAGCCATATATATACTCCCCCCGCCCCAAACCAACAACAAACTAACAACAAAACCAACAACAACCAAACTATAACTAAAGACAAAATAAAACAACAACAAAAAAACACTTTTTTCAGAATCACGTGATCCATCCTGCTTGAGAAACTTTATCTCCATTCATTTGTCACTTCAATGAGTGGTTGGGTGGAGCTCTAGAGTGGTTTTCGTCTTCTTTCTTACCAACCATCCATAATTCATATCCCCCCCCAGCTTCCCTTCTGTTATTTGTACGTTACTCTCTTGTAGCACCTAGTCCTCTAATCTTCGGCACGAATATGACCTAGTAATTGTGTTGCAAGTGCCGTAAATGTCTTTCTAAAAGTCGGTACTGTCTCTCTCTCTCTCTCCAGCGGACGGTGCGACAAATGACGAGAAGGGGGACAACTACAGAACGAACGCCATCATGCTCCAGAACAACCACACAGGCGATGGCAATGACGGTGCTAACCACGCCATGAACAACGGCGACAAGACAACCAAGTTGGCCCTAGATTTTGAACCGTCAGGGGCAGTGCAGACAGCAGAGCCCCTCTCAGAAAAAGCCAAGGTAAAGGAAAAAACCCCCCAATGCTGTCAAAATTGTCCAATGCGGTCACCCGTTATGGAGAAAAAAGTGTTTGTCTTAATAAGGCGGATACCTTCGACATTGTTATGGAAATATTCAAAACAAAAAGCCTTGACAGAAAAGGGGGTGGGGGATACCTTGGACACTGTCATGATTTTATTTAAGACAAGAAACCCAAAAGTGGTGGGGGAGGGGGTGGAACGTGTGCGTTTGTACAGAAGATTGTCTGGGGACAGGTGGCCATTGGAGTACGTTCGACTATGTTTATAAAGTCTGTTTGTCTGCAAGGTGGGACCATTGCAGAAAGTTGGTTATATTATATTATGTCAATAGCTGCGCCGCTTCTTCCAAGGATTCGATTCAAAGTCCATCTGTTTAGGGTTTCAGTAAGAGTCTTGTTGGAGGCCGGTCGGGCAACAAAAACAATGGTGAAGAGAAAATAGTCACTTTTACTCTCCTTTTCAATTTTTTAAAATCATCTTTTGCATTAAGCGCCTAGGGCAGAGGCAATTTTCTATGGTAGGCCAGCTCCTCAGCTCTTTCAATTGGGATATTATAATTTCTCAGGGTTTCATTGACTCTCTTAATCCATCTAATACGTGGTCTACCTCTTCCTTTATAGCCTGTGTACTTGATGTTATAGGCTCTCGAGCCTGGCTGGCCAGGTGACATTCGTAACAGGTGGCCATGCGATTTTGTTCTCTGTTTTTCTATGAAACGCAGACAGGACTCAGTGCCAAGAGCAGCCCTTAGTTCTTCATTTCTCTGTCTGTATCTTCTTGCGATGTTAAGGGTTTTGCGGAGACATTTCATCTCGTGGGGGCGGGGGGAGGTTTGCTTTAGTAAGAGTTTTACGACACTTGCAACAAAATATGGTCATAGAAGTGCCCAAGATGTAAGGTTTTACATGAGTAACAAACACAAAAAGAAGGAGGATAGATCAAGCCGATAGATGTTGGACAGGAAAGGGGGAGCAAACCACTCCAGAGCACCTGCTGGATGAATTCGATATCTGCGTTAAGCATATTATTATACCGCTAGCCTTATACATTATATTCAAAGGATGTAATCAACTTGAATGGATTTGTTGCCATGTTGTGGTCACTTAAGATCAAACTATTAGAATAATTTCCCACTTAAAATCATGCTAATTCTTTTTACTGCCTTGAAACGATAGATGGATGACGTTGGCGTATAATGTGATAGTATAATTTTAAAAACGTTTAAAATGAAATTCGCTAACCAAATGAGCTATGCTTCGTTGTGTGTTTGTCCAGTGTTGTATAAAACTTTTCTTTGTATATTTCTTATTACCTTGCTTCAAAGTCCGGGCCAAGAAGATATTTTCTATTTTAGATATTATGCTTTGTAGTTCTTTGTAATGCCAGCTGTACATAGTTTCCTGTTACCAGCGTCTGTGGTATAACGGTTAAGCACTATACCGGTGCAGGCAAAAGATCTGGGTTCGATTCCCGGGTGCGGGAAGTTTTATCAAGTGTGTCGGTGTTTCTACTGGTATCTTGTATTTCTCTTAATCTGGGTTGGCACTGATGGCCAAGATTGTGACCCGCCTCCTAAATGACCTAAACTGTCTCGATTTGGGAGTAAAAACACCTACATAAAAGTTTCCGTATTATGACAAGCTAGCCTTCTAAAAAGATGAGGGGGTATTTACGGGATAGGAGAAGACCACACCCAGAATCTCTACATGGGGCATGTTTTCCGTTCCATAGAATAATAAGAAGTAACGCTCGGTGTGTATACTACTTGCAGACAGACAAATCAAGCTCCCTGTACTTAACCTCTTCACTACTGGGTAGATATATCGCTACCTCAGAATTACAAAGTTCTTTCTTTCTCTCTCTCTCTTTCTCTCTCTCTCTCTCTCTCTCTCTCTCTCTCTCTCTCTCTATATATATATATATATATATATATATACATACATACATACATACATACATACATACAAAGAGAGAGTGAAAGAGAGAGAGAGAGAGAGAAAGAGAGAGACAGAGAGAGAAGGAGAGAGAGAGAGAGAGAGAGAGAGAGAGAGAGTGTGTGTGTGTGTGTGTGTGTGTGTGTGTGTGTGTGTGTGTGTGTGGTGTGTGTGTGTGTGTGTGTGTGTGTGTGTGTGTGTGAGAGAGAGAGAGAGAGAGAGAGAGAGAGAGAGAGAGAGAGAGAGAGAGAGAGAGAGAGAATCTATAATGAATGATAATATGATTTCCAAGATTTTTCTTTTATCATCAAATCATCAAACTTGTGACCAATTTCTTTCTCCAGCTTGAGCCTGTGGTTGAGATCGAAACTGAAAATTTGCTAAAAGATGAAATCGATGACAACGAGTACTGGACCGACGAAGATGAGGAAGAGGATGAAGAAGAGACGAAGAAAGAGGGAATCTTGTCCAAATTCGTGATAAGCGTGCAGCAGATCATTATCCGGACCTACTACACGCTCATGAAAGTGACCAAAGGCCACCTGATTAAAGTTGTCTTCTTGATTCTCTATGCCGTGTACTTCGTGAGAGCTATGATTTATGAGTAAGTGAGCTCCTTTTTGAAACTTTATTTTCATTTATTACAGTTTTTAAGACGGGCTCTGTCTTGCGGTCTTGATGTACAGAGTTCACCTCGTCATTCAATTATTGGTCCCAAGTTGGAAACCTGTCGGAGACAAAAAATTTTCTTCTCTATAAAAAAAATCTCTTCAGCTCCTTTCTTATTCTCTAGTCTTGTTCTGTCATCTGCTTTCATTTTCACTTTTTGCCACCCCACTCTCCTCTGGGCTCCTCTCTCCTTTACTCCTGACTCTTTCAACTGCTTCATCTGGCTCTTTCTTACTGCTGTCTTTTAGCCACACCCCTCACCTCAGGGGAGGTAAGACCTAACACCTTGCCTTATCAGATAAGGGCAACGAATCTAAGAGGTCCCGTGTGCGAGTTGCGTACATTAAAATATAATTCTTTTGTGGGCCTAAAATCGAAGACATTTGACTTCGGCCGCCACCCAGGCAAAATTCAAAATTAATTCCGACAAAAACTGAATATATATAGGCAGTATAAAACATATACAGTAGGAAAAACGGCCACTTACGTAAGAATCTATTGCACTGTAAGCTGAAGAACCAGTAGGCGACTACCATAGGGATCAAGCAGGGGAACACAAAGAAGAATAAGAATAAGATTAACTTTTGGAAGTCGGAATGTCTTCTGCCTAGGTGATGAGTTCTTGTTTTCCTCACAATTCAGAAAATTATGTTCTTGCCTGTACGGCACGTGTATCCGCATACACCAAATCTTCATTTCTTTCTTTAAATTTTGTGAGGGTTATACATGCTTGCAGCTTGAAACTAATCTTTTAATGCTGAAAATGCTAACGTTTACATATGATTTAAAACTAAAATTGCTGAGATTAAGTACAGACTAGGCTTACGACCAATGAGAGTTAAATTTCCGTGCCGAACTATGTCTCAATTTTATACATTTACAGAACAGTTACAGTTCACATGTTTGCTTCATCAAGTGCACAACCGTTATTCATGTATTCAACTCTTACTTTCTTTTCTTCTATTTTTCAAGCATGACAGCCTATAAGTACATAAACATAAGTTTTTTAAAAAACACTCATAGCACATAGAACATAAAAACAATACACTTTTAAAAGTTTTTTTGGAAAACACTCATAGCACATAGAACATAAAAACAATACACTTTTTAAAGTTAAAAACCTCCCCACACCCATAGCACATAGAACACATTTTAGTTTTGATACTTATTTTGTAGATGTTTCTGTGACCCCATCGACACAATTTAGATTATTTATTTAGGAGGCAGGTTTCCGGCTATGCCTCTCAATAATGCCAAGCCGGGCTCAGAAGGATACAATACCCTAGCCGAGGATACTTGAAAATCGACAAAACAAATTTTCACTCGGGAATCGAACTCGTGCGACAGCGAAGCACCAAACCGCTACACCACCAGTGCCCACCTCTTAGTAATATAGATGTATTAGGTGGTCACAGTGAACAGCAAGTCCCTCGGGCCAAAAGGAATATTCTAGTCAAGCCATCGACAGCGGGAACATTTTATTTTTATTTGTGTCACGACTTGGTGAAATCAAGTGCTCGTCTATTTTTGTGCATGTGGAGGTATTAGTATCATCTTAAAGCTTGTTCATTTACCTATCTTTTAATGAAAAAAAACCCCATTTGAGTTAAATAAATACCGAGATACTCGCGATTGAAGGAGTGGGTGTCACCTGGTTTCAGGGGTAACACTAGTAAGAAAATGGCTTCTAAAGTTTGGTGACTCCCAAAGCTTGAGAGTCGTTGAAAACTGAAAATGTTCATTTCTTGAGCCTTTGATGAACGTTTTTCAGCAAAAAATAAACACAGAAATTATACCCTTTTAAACATAATTAAAAGGTGTTGAGCCAAAAACCAAAAATTCTATAAATATTGCCGACTGATAGAAACAATACTAATGTCTTCAATTTCATTATTTTGACGAGCGCCTGATTTCAACAAGGTGTCTCACATTGTTAACAACCCACAGTGTCCTTTTTGTTAGAGAGCAGTAAATAAACATCATGTACAGATTAAACCAGGCAATGAACAACTTACTTATTTATTACTTATTTATCCTCCTGTCTCAGTTTGGGGCACAAAGGATGATCGGGCAACCCCTTTTCTCCTTCCACCTGTATTTTCAGCTTTTCGAAGGACTTCACCAAACCTGTCCATTTGGTTATGTTATCTTCCCATCTCTATTTTCTGTCTGCCTTTCCGTCTCCCTTCTTGTACGGTGCCCTGTAGGATCATCTTTTTAAGTCCTATTGATCTTGTTATAGGCCCATAGTGTATCAATTTGCGTTTCTTTACACTAGTGAGAAGAACGAGCAAAGATTGCTTAAGTTAATATAATTCAGCTCAATCTGAAACCCCCTGGAAAGCAAATCAAAGACTTGTTATGCGACCAGATTCACCCACCCAGATTTAGAAAATGCATGAACAACAACGACAAAAACATTCTTAGATCTAGCTGATCTACACATCATTGTCTTCAACGATCCCACTATTATTATTATTATTACTATTATTATTATTGTCATCATTATTATTGTTTTCATATGATTATGAATATGATTATTATTTTGATGATGATGATGATGATGATGATGATGATGATGATGATGATCATGATGATGATGATCATGATGATGATGATCATGATGATAATGATGATTTTTAAAAGTTATTACTACTATTATGTATATACTCTATGCTTGTGTATTTCAGATTTGGAAGTGAGGCATCTCACCGTCTGTTGGGTTTCACAATCCTTGGAGTCGTAATTGCCACCCGCAATCTCATCATGCAAGCTTATAACAGACTTTTCAGAGCTTGTGTTGGAAGTTCTTCCTTTGGCCCAACAGGACAGAGACGAATGGACAAGATACGATTAGCACTACGATGGTGAGTAGATGGCTATTATTTATTTACATTTTTGTATAATATTGTTGCTGCTACAGATACATTTGCCAATGTAAAACAGTAATTTTCCATTATATCAAAAAACCAGTTGAAGTATCAGTTTTAGATATTGCTTGTCCAATACCAAAGTGTGTGCCACTGTGACTTCATTGCATGTAGCTTTGTAGTCCCTAGTCCAGTTTTACCTGATACATTAGCTGAAAATAAATGAAAAGTCCGACAGCGAAAAGGAAAAGAGTGAAGATGCGCCCGCACTAGCTTCTTGGGGTTTCCCGTATGTTGATTGTAAATAAAAGAAGTATGAGGCGTGTGTCATCATCATCATCATCATCATCATCATCATCATCATCATCATCATCATCATCAGTTGTAGTAGTATTAATATAACTATCATTTTTCTTGTTCTTGTTCTTGTTCTTGTTCTTGTTCTTGTTCTTGTTCTTGTTCTTCTTCTTCTTCTTCTTTTTCTTCTTCTTCTTCTTCTTCTTCTTCTTCTTTTTCTTCTTCTTTTTCTTCTTCTTCTTTTTCTTCTTCTTGTTCTTCTTCTTTAGCTTCTGTCAATAGAAAGGAAAGGTTGCTCGTACGTGCCTGTGAGCTTCCTCCTATCTGTAAATGCCAGTCTATTATTCTTACCCACAATTATATTTCCTACACAATCAGAGGTTAGCGATATCAATGTTAGAGCTAAAAAGTTCACCAACTTTCCTCTTGCATCTCAAATTTGTGCCTGTTAGAATAGTTCACATATCTTTTTGGTACGATTGTTCTTGTCTCATTGGTCTGAATGTGTACGATAAACGCTCCCTTTTCATCACTGTATGGATATTTAAAAGGCAGGACCTTCGAATCTAACATTCACCTTTGAACGGACGAGCCAAACAGGAATAGGGTCTTGAAAACTCCCCATAACATCCCAAATTCAAAACACCCCGTTGGGGATTCGAAGCAAGGCCATTCGCTGAGCAGTCTAGCGTTATACCAACTGATCTACAGAGCACCCGTTTGTTCATTCGTATTAGCTTGTTTTTGTGTGCAGTCTGAGATCGCTACCTCAGAATTACAAAAATTTGATCAGCTCAGTACCTAATTTTGAGAAATTTGACGTACAAAAAAAAAAATTGATTTTCACAACATGTCAAGCTTTTTCAATTACAATTCTTCGAATATCTTGACAGCGGCTCCGAATAATCTAACGATTTTGATAGAGCAAATAGAGCATTTGACCTCATGGTCTTAGAAGTAACCCAAAAAGGCCAAAAATATCTGATATAACTTTGTCAATCTATTCTATGGTAGCGAGATGTCATTGAACTTCTCACTATACCTAATAGAATGTGACATTTCAATTCCTCAGGTTCATGTACTTTGCTTTAGCTGGAGTGGTTATCTACACTGTGGTGGACGAAGGGATCGACGAACCGAAGAACCTGCGCTCGTTACCAGGGCTAGTTGTCATGTTGTTGATCCCATTGTTCTTCTCTACCCACCCCAGCAAGGTAAATGTTCAGGTGGGGTGCCGAAAAGCCCTTTAAGAACTTCTCTGCACAGTACAGGTTGTGATATCGTCTCTTGGTTCATGTTTTAAATGTAGGTTTTTTTACGCCCTCATCGAGCGGATTAAGATCATAATGCAGTCGGTGAACTTCGACCCTGACTGTCAGAACCAACTCGTGATTAGAGAGAGAGAGAGAGAGAGAGAGAGAGAGAGAGAGAGAGAGAGAGAGAGATATATAAAGTGTCTCAGTACAAAGACCAAGATACTCGCTAAAAATTCTCTCTACATGGAAATCAAACTCGGCTCTTTTGCATGCTAATGTTAAACGCCTGAAAGCTACACCACAGACACAGGTACGCCTGCTCATTGAAGACCATGTTCGTCTAAGTAATAGGGAGTTTGAAATATCAAATAAAGCTTGAGTCTGACTTTGAGTTCGTGCAGGGAGAAGCACATCGACGACAATAACAGCCTTATAGTGCAGGCAAAGATTGTCTACTAATAATAGAGAATCTTTGGTGCAGAGAAGAAGCAAGACCTATTTATAGACACTAACAAAAGAAGGAAAAAAACCCCGAAGTAGGCCCTCAAACCTTCCGCCAAAACAAACCGGTCTACCCATATGCAAACATTTAATGTGACCGATAACGTAAAGCAGTGGCTTCTATTTTAATTTGTATCCTAGCGTTGGATTGAACAGACGCCTAATTAAAACTTAATGGCTTCAAGAGATACACCTGTACGCCAATATGCCGACACATGAAAGAGCCCCAGTAACCTGATAGCTTTTGAACATGCAAATGACTCCTCTCAACACAGAGATGGAAGGTTAGTACATTTTGTGAGGAATAAAACCAGATCATGAAAAATTCAGCCGTCTAATGCGGGGCTTCCTACAAATGGTTGGGGTGTCGCAAAAATTCAATACCTTTAAAAAAAAGTGAAAAGTTGTTATGGTGAAATGATACCATATTATAAGCTGGGAAAGTACATTCATGTATGAAGAAGCGTAACAAAGAGCTCGGAAGAGAAGGTCTATAATTACATGTTACGTATAGCTGCTGAAAGCGAAGTTCTTTCATTACATGTATACAGCCGCTGAAAGGGAATGTTTAACTTAATAATATTAATAATTATACAGCTGCTGTAAACGAAGTATCATTACACGCTCTCATACACACAAACACACACACACACACACACACACACACACACACACACACACACACACACACACACACACACAAATGCACGCACTCACGCACAAACGCGCACGAGCACACACAAGCATGCAAATATATATTAATATATTTTAAAAAATACATTATACTATATATGCTGCAGGTGAAGTTATATCAATACAGACAGACAGAAACACACACTGACACACACACACACACACACACACACACACACACACACACACACACACACACACACACACACACACACACACACACACACACGCAAATACACACAGGAACAGGCTTCTTATCAGAGAAAATGTGTTTTTCTACCCTGTATTGAGTTCTATGTCTGGTAATATAGAAAAAAGAACTAGAGTCTGTTTGTAATCTCATAAGCAAAAGTGAGAAGATCAAACAAATTCAACTGTTTAAATATCTAGCGTATGTAATTACATTCGATTCCATATGTTCAGCAGTAATAAAACGAATAATAGCAATGGCTAAAGATAGTCTCAAAAAATGATCACAATCCTGAAAAATAGAAACGTCTCAATGATTACCACATCAACAGTTCTAAGAAGTCTGTGTGCGGTCAGCCCACAGGACAAGAATCTGGAAAACAGCCAAAGACAGTGGAAACGAAGTAATGGTTTCAAAGGAGACTGTTGAGAATTTCTAGGAAGGAAAATAAATCAAAAGAGTTCTTGAAGAAGCCCTCATGGGCCGCCCGCTGAATAAAAACTATTAGAAAGAGACAAAATATGCAGTTTCTAAGACACCTGAAGAGGCATAAAGGACTTGCAATCCAGCACTCACGGGAAAAGTTGAAGGCAAACGAGGCATGGGTAGACCCAAAGCAAATTTAATTGTAGCGTCTACACATATAGGTGAAGGGGAAAGATCAGGATGATATAGCTTTCATTGGGCATCCGAGAAAATAAATGAATCTCAAACCATGATCACGGGTGTCTATTGCAGATCTGGCTCTTGATGGAGATGAAGTTCTTGCGTTTTTAAAATGTATTATGCACAAGAACTATACATTTCGCTACCCCAGAATGACCTAATTGTAGTTCTGTCTGACATTTTTGACTCTTTTGAGTTGCTAAGACTATGAGGTCAAAAACCATATTCTATCTGCTCTATCAAAATCGTAAGATTATTCGGAGTCGTTACTAAGATATTCAAAGAATTGCATTTTTAAAAAAGCTTTACATGATGTGACACTCAACATTTTTTATGTCAAATTCTCAAAGGTAAGTACTCAGCAGGTAGAACTTTGTAATTCTGAAGTAGCAAAATACAGAACTAGAGAAACGTATCTTATCCTACTCAATTAACCCCTCAAACTGTGCAACTGCTTTTGCTGCTGCTCCTGCATCCCCACAATGAACAAGGTGGCGTCGGTAGCCTAGTAGTAAGGCTACCGGACCTATAATCGTTAGATAGCGGGGTCGGGGGTTCGGGCCTCAGCTCGGTCCGACGTTGTGTTCCTGGAAAAGGCATTTTAAAAGAAATTCCTGTGTGGCTCAGTCCTTTCGGAGACGGACGTTAAATTCGGAGGTCCCGCCTCTAAAATAGCCTAGTGTTGATAGGGACGTTAATCCCATACCATTTCACCATTTTCACAATTACTACAATTATTGTCCGATCTGCAGCAGACCAAACCAAAGATGTTGTAAGTTATGAACAATCATATACACAAATCAGAAACACGATTTTGAATATCTCTTGATACGCTTGTAGTTACTTGTCTTTTCTAAGTTTCAGATAAAAAGGTAACAAAATCGATGTCCCCAAAAACATAGCGTCTTCAAGCATTGTGTGTCGCCAGTGAGTGAAATGCTTTATCTATTTTTTATTTATCAGATCAACTGGCACACCATCTACTGGAGTGTTGGCCTGCAGTTTCTCTTGGCGTTGTCTGTCCTCAAGTGGGACACTGGTCGGGATGTGGTGCTGTGGATACAGGACAGGCTGGACGAGTTCTTTGCAAACTCCGAAGAGGGCTCTGTCCTGCTCTTTGGACAGTCTTACAGGGACCATTACATGATTTTTGGGGTAAGTCAAACGAAGTTGTTATAATAAATGGAATAATAATAAAAACAATAGCAATAAGGATGATATTATGGCAACATATTGATAATAATAATGGTAATAATAATAATAATAATAATAATAATAATAATAATAATAATAATAATAATAATAATAAGAATAAGAATAATAGTAATAATAATAATAATAATCCTCATCATCATAACAATAATCATAATAATCATAATAATAACCATAATAATAATCATAATAATAATCATAATAATAGGCATAACAATAACAACAACAATAACAATAATAATAATAATAATTTAAAAAAAATAACAATAATAATAATAATAATAGTAATAATAATAATAATAATAATAATAATAATAATAATAATAATAATAACAATAATGACAATATGTTGTCTGTCAGTGTCTGGCGAACATCAACAGATTTGCTGAGGATGATACTTTTTAGGCAGCATAGAGAGGTTTTAGGTGATTTGTGGCTTTTGCTATGGCCAATGAGAACATTTGTAGCAGAGAAGTTTGACGTGTTTTGAGGATTTAAAAGCTTCGTTTCTACTCGAGGATGTACACAGCTTGATGCTTCTCTCTTGGCCTTAGCATTTTTAATTCGTGAAGCTTCACATTGACTTGTGGCCTGCCGTGAATGTTTCTCTCTAACGAAGCTGGTACAGAATAAAATGTCAGGTATCGGGGTGAAATCAGGCGCTCGTCAAAATTGTGAAATCGAGGGAACCGGCATTTTTCTGGCCTGTGGGTCATTGTTTTCGAATTTCTTTTTTGACTCAACACATTTTAATTGTCCATTTAAAAACACAATTCTGTTCAGGTTATACTGAACAATTTTGATAAAGGGCTCAAAAATTGTAAACGTGACGTTTCCAAGGAATCAAGCTTTGGATGTGACCAAACTTTGGAGACGATTTTTTTGCAAATTTTACCACTGACACCAGGTAACAGCCACCTCCTTGAATAGGAAATATCTGGACTTCTATTTCAGATATTTAGATATTTTGTTCTTCAACAGTAGGGCAAGTGCCTGATTCCACCGCATTCTGAGCAAATAGAAAATTTGGTTTCTGACCTCATGGTCTCAGTAACTCAAAACAGCCAAAAATGTCAGGTAGAACTTTGTGATTCTGAGGTAGTGATATGTCGCGACGCTGTGGAATCAGACGTCAATTTTTGGGCATATAGTGTGATTTTAAAGCTTGTTCATTTGCCTTGCTTTCGATGAAAAAGATACCCACTTATCTTGAATAGAAGTCGACATATTAGCAATTGAAGGAGGTGAGTGCTGCATGGTGTCAGGGGAAAAATATTGAGAAAATGGCCATCAAAGTTTTATGATTTCCAGAGCAGCGCAGAAAACTTTTTATAAAGGGTAAAGAGCGCAGCCATGACAATGCGCCATTTAGGATATTATGATCTGTGTTCGCTCAGAGCGTCTTGATTTGATTAGGCTCCATTTCATAGGAGCAGCTTGTGAGGGTCCTCAGTGTTCGAGAAGACCAGTTTAGTTTTAGTAAAATGTTTACTGCACTTTCAGCACAATTAGGTTCTATTTGTGCGAAGATTAGAAGTATTACAGGAGAGAGTAACATTCACACAAAAAGAAGAAGGAGAAAAACGAACGACAGATCTGTGTTAGAAAAAATGGAGCAAACCACACCAGAGAACCTGCCAAGCACCCTAGTAGACCAGCATCTGTGCTGTAACGTGAGTTCAATTCTCGAAACGGGAGGATGTGTATCAGGTATCTCAGTCTTTCTGCTGGGACGTGACGTTGTATCCATTTCAGCCCAGGCTGGCTCTGACAGGCAGGGTCGGACCGACCCATTTCATAAATTGTCCTAACTGTATCGATAAGGGTGTTAAACATCTACACACACACACACACACACACACACACACACACACACACACACACACACACACACACACACACACATACACACATAATATATATATATACATATATATATATATATTATATGTATATATGCATATTATGATACATACATACATACATACATACGCACATACATACATATATACATACATACATAATGTACATATATATATATATATATACCTATACATATATACACATAATATATATATATATATATATATATATATATATTTATAAAGTATATATATAATATACATTTGACAATTTTAATGAATTCCGGTAGTTAGACAACCGACCCACTGGCACAAACTTTGGACCGAGCTGGACCTTACGTCTTGGGAAAAAAACATTTTATGCAAATTTACCTCACTTCACCTTGGTGGGAACGAGCACATTGTTGAAACAGTGAACTTTTTAGTCAGCAGGTTTGCTTTTAAGAAAGACTAGCATACAACTTAAAAATATGTTATGCACGGACTTAGCAATTGTTTTATGGCATCATATTTGACTTCGCTCTGAGCTCAGGGATTCTTTTAACACTTAAGAGTATCATGACCCTCCGTAAGACATTGTTTTCATTATAATGTATAGGTAATTTGCTTATATGTCGACTGATTGATGTATGATCCTACCATGCGCTATTTTGAAAAGTAATAATAATAAATTGCGTTTATATTGATCCCTGTAGGGCAATTAGGGTTACAATGACCCAAAAAAATACATAATAAATACATACGTATTATTACGCACATACATAAATACATATATACACAAATACATACATGAATACTCAAAATCACACAGGGGGGCTCTCGTGGCCTAGAGGTTAAGGTGTTCGC